ACGTCCTCTAATTGTTGTTGCGAGTTTTTACGTGGCTGCTATAGGGTTCTAGCAAGAACGTTTCTTACATATGCCAAAACCACAACGTGATATGCCAATTTCTATTTACCCTTCATAAGGACGCTTTTCATCAAATCCGATCCGACTAAAGTGGGAGAGACAAACACCCGCTAGCCACCTTATGCAACTAGTGCATTTCAGTCGGTGGAACCTATCTCACGTAAGCGTACATGTAAGGTCGGTCCGGGCCGCTTCATCCCACGATGCCGTCGAAACAAGATAAGACTAGTAGTGGCAAGTAAATTTACAAAATCTACGCCCACAACAAAATTGTGTTCTACTCGTGCATAGAAACTACGCATAGACCTAGCTCATGATGCCACTGTTGGAGATCGTTGCAGAGAATAAAAAATTTCTACGCATCACCAAGATCAATCTATGGAGTCATCTAGCAACGAGAGAGATAGGAGTGCATCTACATACCCTTGTAGATCGTGAGCGGAAGCGTTCAAGAGAACGGGGTTGATGGAGTCGTACTCGTCGTGATCCAAATCACCTAAGATCCTAGTGCCGAACGGACGACACCTCCGCGTTCAACACACGTACGGAGCGGAGACGTCTCCCGCACCTTGATCCAGCAAGGAGGAGGGAGAGGTTGAGGAAGTAAGCTCCAGCAGCAGCACGACGGCGTGGTGGTGATGGAAATGCAGTACTCCGGCAGGGCTTCGCCAAGCTTTTGCGGAGGAGGAGAGGTGTTGGGAAGGGGAGGGGTTGCGCCTTGGAGGTGTCTGTGCAGCCCTCCCCTCGCCCCTCTATTTATAGGGGAAGGAGGAAGGGGGTCGGCCCCCTCTAGATGAGATCTAGAGGGGGGCGGCGACCAAGGGGGGGGGGTGGGACTTGCCCCCCAAGCAAGGGGGGCGCCACCCTTAGGGTTTTCCCCCCAACCATAGGCGCATGGGCCCAAGGGGGGTGATGCGCCCAGCCCACTAGGGGCTGGTTCCCTTCCCTCCATGGCCCATGAGGCCCTCCGGGAGAGGTGGCCCTCCCAGTGGACCCCCGGAACCCATCCGGTGGCCACGGTACAATACCGGTATGACCCCGAAACTTTTCGGTGACCGTATTACAACTTCCCATATATAAATCTTCACCTCCGGACCATTCCGGAACTCCTCGTGACGTCCGGGATCTCATCTGGGACTCCGAACAACATTCCATAATCACATACAAGTCTTCCTAATAACCCTAGCATCACCGAACCTTAAGTGTATAGACCCTACGGGTTCGAGAATCATGCAGACATGACCGAGATAGCTCTCCGGCCAATAACCAATAGCGGAATCTGGATAACCATGTTGGTTCCCACATGTTCCACGATGATCTCATCGGATGAACCACGATGTCGAGGATTCAAGTAATCCCGTATACAATTCCCTTTGTCAATCGATACATTACTTGCCCGAGATTCGATCGTCGGTATCCCAATACCTCGCTCAATCTCGTTACCGGCAAGTCACTTTACTCGTTACGTAATGCATGATCCCGTGACCAACCACTTGGTCACATTGAGCTCATTATGATGATGCATTACCGAGTGGGCCCAGAGATACCTCTCCGTCATACGGAGTGACAAATCCCAGTCTCGATTCGTGCCAACCCAACAGACACTTTCGGAGATACCTGTAGTGTGCCTTTATAGTCACCCAGTTAAAGCACTTCTACGGTATCCGGGAGTTACACAATCTCATGGTCTAAGAAACTGATACTTGCCATTAGAAAAGCTCTTAGCAAACGAACTACACGATCTTGTGCTATGCTTAGGATTGGGTCTTGTCCATCACATCATTCTCCTAATGATGTGATCCCGTTATCAATGACATCCAATGTCCATAGTCAGGAAACCATGACTATCTGTTGATCAACGAGCTAGTCAACTAGAGGCTCACTAGGGACATCTTGTGGTCTATGTATTCATACATGTATCATTGTTTCCGGTTAATACAATTATAGCATGAACAATAGACAATTATCATGAACAAGGAAATATAATAATAATCATTTTATTATTGCCTCTAGGGCATATTTCCAACACTGGGCAGGGCAGGGCACAACACAGCCGCACGCACAGGGTGGTGGGAGCCGACGACGAGCAGACGCTCCAAGCGTCGGGCGAGCGAGATGAAGAGGAAGGCACGGAGCCGGGCCGCGGAGCTTCGGATGCACGATTGCCACAGCTGCCGATCTGGTGGAGACGAGTCCCGCGCCTCCGCGTCGGCCTTCGTCCACGCCTAGCACTGGGTCAGCCAGCGAGCATGCCGAAATCGAGCAGATCCTCGGGCACTTCAGAGACCGATTCGACGAGGAAGTGCGGAGAAGAGTGGGGAGAGGGGGTGCGAGACCTCGCGTCGGCTGTGGAGACGAAGAGGAGGGGCGACCCGAGGAGGTAGAGAGAGAGAGTTGTTGGCTTGTGGCCACAGGGAGAAGTGGGGAGACAGTGAAGTGATAAGGGTAGTGAAGGTAGGTGACGAGGTGAGGAGAACTGAGAGGAAAAGTGAGGTGTTCCTTTTTTTCTTAGGTTTTTTCGTTTCTTTTCTTTTTTGAGTTGGTTTTTTTTTTGAGTTGGTTTTTAGCCCTTTTGGTGAAGTCGTAATTACAGATGTAGCGTTGGGCGTTGTCCAATTCATTTTTTAATCAAAGTAGATTTTAAGCACCTACAATCATAGAGGAGAGCATGCAAACCTTATTTATCTGGATTGGAGATGTACAGTTTGTAGAGGAAACAAATCAGGGCAGTTAAAACTCATGAGACATTATTACTATTACGAGCGAACACATGATATGCAAGGATAAAAAATCTAAACTGGAACTCGCAAGCGTGATGGTAAAGGAATGACACACGGATACTTCTACAAGCTTCCTTACTTCGCAGCATTGTAAAGGAGGTGACGAGCAAGGCCTGCGTGAGGACTCAGGACATGACTAGCAAGGCCTACACCATCTGAGGGTGCATCTTCTGATCCGAGGGTCTAGATCTTCCGCAGCAAAGACGGCAGTCATAGTTGCTGATCTCCATGGATTAATGTGGAGGCTTCAAAAGAGCATCAAATTAGTAAATATATATATATATCAGATTTGTTGCTCTTTCTGGTAAGTCATCAATCTAGCCAAAGTAGCACTTTTTTTTTAATAGAAGACACCCAGTCTAAGAACCTCTTATTGCTGATTAAATGAGATAAAAATCTATTATGTATTTATTTTGAGTAAGAATTACACATCAACTAAGAAATGGGCAGTTGCAAAAAGTGTGTGCCAACTTGGGTATACAACAGGAGAAGCTTTCCAAGTAACATTTGCACTAAGATCCAAAATTCTGCAGGTAATGAGAAAACCGTAACAGAGATGAATGGCATCAGGGGTGGCAAATGTTTGAGGACATAAAAGTGGTCTGCACTAACAGGACATGACCTATCATTTTCGGAGTAAGTACGACTCGATGTTCAGTTCGGCGACCAAGTGGCCAGGTCTACACAGAGATGAATGGGCTTTCAAATTATCTGTTATGTTATGCTACACCTTCGTGGACAGGTCTACACAAAATACCTACTACTGCACTATTCAGTTTTGAGATCAGAAGCCATTAGACCATTCAGAAATAAAAGAGGAATATAAAGGAAGAGACGGTTACAAATGCAGAACATGATTTGGTATCTATTTCGTAAAGCAGAAACAGCAACCATTATAATGCCGTAAGTTTAGTCTGTACCTGCTGGTGAGTGAGATCATGTCCTCCAGTTCTTGGGCACATCATAGTTGTACACATGAAAAGGGCAAGACATAATTCACAGGTTATATAACCCTCGCTGGCATTTGGGGCTTTCCTTTTTTTTAATAAAGAAACTGCATGCATTAGCAGCTGCTAAATTCAACTATAAACTGAATAGCAGCTTTGTTGCCAAAGCTTTCGACAGCCCATTCCACAAAGTGCCCCTAGAGGTACAAACGAAAAGTTCAGAGCATGAGTATCTATCCCGGAGTTAGTGCAAAACAAGTGTTCTAGTGTGAAAGTAGTTTATCATGCAAGTCTCAGGATCAGTGTTGATACTTGAAATAGAAACTAACACCATTTAGCCTCTCTGAACAAATCTCCAAATGTTCATTTGCTCTGTATTTAACTTGATATGGTGGCACATTAATCACCATTTGCTGGGCACACCCTGATCTTAGCTGAACAAACATAATTGTGTATCAGCTCACTGCATGTTCTGGATTTGCGGTTCCTTGAATGGATTGGGTGCCGTATTGAATAGTAGAGAGATATGATAAGACTAATTCATGACGTCTTCTTTGGTTTAGTTCTCACGATTTAATTCATTTCACGATCATGCTTTAGCCTCGGATAGGTCAGCTTTTCACAGTTAAAAGTTTCCCAGCAAATGTCAACCATAGAATTTAGGAACAAAGCATATCAATCTTTGAAGAATACAGGGAAGAAGAAAAAGGCAAACGTACACCCAACAGAAATACATTTCCTAAGCATAGTATAAAAATCGAACATTGAACTGCTAGTACTAACTGAAATATGATGGAACAAAGAAGACGATGAAACAAAAATGGGACATGCTGATAGAATTCAGCATGAAAGCATATCATACCAATGTTTTTAATGGAAACCAGGACAGAATGGTTCTTTTGCTTTCTGGTTTGCTGGATCCTGGTTTCAACAGAAAATTGATCCACCCCCACATCCAATTTCCATGATCTTAAACGGAAGTCAGAAACACAAATATATTCCAGGACCTATCATTTTCAGAGATTGCAGGCGATGCTTTCTTCTCTACTGAATAATACATCGACAAGTTGGCGTTCAAAAGTCAATAGCAGATAAAAGATATCATCCAGTTAGGAAAAGAACACAAAAATAGGAATTACCAGCTTGCTACTCAGAATGAAAACCTTGTTGAGCGCCCTACACAGTTTGCCAATTTTCATAGCCCATTGATGGTTCAAGTAAATCTGAATCTAGTTGGCGCTTCCCCTCTGCATGCGGCCGCATAGTCTTCAGCAAGGTGTGGTGCAGCCTCCATGTGAGGGCATATGTACTTCTCCATGAATATTTTCTCAACCAGATCCCAAATTGTCTTATAGCCCAGGTTGCCCTTGAGCAATCCGTTTTCCTTGAGAAACTTTACAGCGTAGTACCGTGGCCTGAGCCGCCCCTCTAGGCTGTAACTGAGCATTATCGGGCGATGAGCAAGGTATGGTGGTTCCAGTCCAACCTCGGAGATGAGGAACTCTGACTTCCTCTGCAGCAGGTCCTTGCCCAAGGTGAGCAGCATTGGAGCCTTGGACACAGCAATGCGCACCTCGGCATCCGACCACCTAAACGTCTCCTTCATGTATTCCATTTTGGCGGCGATCTTGTCCTCGCTGTCGAACGCAACACTCCGCATGGCTTGCCGGAACATCCCAGAGCCGCGAGGCACACCTAGACGTTCAGCACCGGCCACCATCCCCCGGATTTGTTCCACGTTGGCGGTGAGCATCCTTGGCATAGAGATGGCAAGCTTGGCAATGTCGCAAGCACCTAGCGTGCACTCCTGCAGCAACCCGACATTCCGCTTGACCACCGTCTCGAGGTTGTGTGAGAGGAGATTGTGGTTATGCTTGAATGCCCGGAGGAATTCCTCCAAGGAGCCGAAGAGGCGCAGGTAGTAGTCCACCTTGGAGACGACGGATTTGTTGCGGGAGTGGTTGTTGTTGGCGGTGAGCGGGACGAGTCGCGCGATCTCGGAAGGCGACAGTCCGAGGCCGGTGAGCCCGTCGACGATGGGGAACAGGGTTCTCTCCACGCTGGCGCAGAGGAACTTGGGGTCCCTGGCGACTAGGGCCGCGACGTCGGAGCTGGGGATGCCGAGGCCGGCGAGGAAGGCGAGGACGGCGTCGGGCTTGGATGGGGACCTCAGGTGGGAGAGCTTGGGGGAGGCCTTGAGGGCCTGCGCTCGGGTGAGCCCGCAGGTGGAGACGAGGTACTCCTCCACGGAGAAGCCGGAGCTGGGGGAGGCGGCGGCGGCGGAGAGGAGGCGGTGGAGAGAGGGGAGCGGGGAGGTGGCGGGAGAGGAGAGGAGATGGGCGAGGACGCAGCTCCGGAGGCGGAGCATGGCGGCGGCGGCGGCGGCGGCGGCGGCGAGGGAGTGGGGAACGATGGCGAGACGATGAGCCTCCTCCAGATTTGCCTGGTACAAACGCGACTGGGCTGGGCTGGGCTGGTCTGGGCTGGTCCGGGCCTAGATTAGAGTGACTCGTTTGTGGTTACCATGGGGCGATTTGGCGGGCAAGACAGCGAATAGCCCATGATGTTTAGGGAGGTGCTTAGAAAAATAAATTGGGTTTTTCTGAAGCACCAGTGCTTATTTCTACAAAAAAGACGCCTAATTAAGCGTCTGCCCTATACAAATAAGCACCGGTGCTTAAGAAAAACTTGGTTTATTTCTTCAAGCACCTTGCATTGTACAAGGCCTTAACAGGTACTTGGAGGACCTCCAGATTATGGCGGTCCGAGACGATGCGCGTTCTCAGCAACCACAAGTTAACATCACAAGGCCACGACGTTGGATTCCTCCGCCTAGTGATGCATGCAAGATTAATGTGGAAGGAGGTATCTCAGTTCTGGGAGACAAAGGGGTGGCGGCGGCGGCGGCGGTCTGCAGAGATGGTGCAAGGAACTATTTGGGAGCCCCGACGGTTGTTTTCGAGGGTCTGGTTGATCAAGCTACTCTGGAAGTGCTAGCATGCAGCGAAGAAAGAGGCATTTCCCTTGCGCACGACCTTAATCTACATTAAATGATCATCGCCTAAGACTGTTTGGAAAGTCCTCGGCAACATCAAGAAGGGAGTTGTTTCACCATATGCTATGATCTCGCCAGATATTCAGTTTAGTACTAGATCTTTTGATAGTGTTTCTTTCTGTTTCGAGCATAGAGAGTCCAATTTCGAAGCTCATTCAATTGCTAAGGGAGCTTTCTTCCCTTTCTGTTAGTCCAGACATTGCTTGTATCCTTGATGTTTTGAATTTTGAATTTTGAATAAAGCACTAGTTACCCCACAAAAAAAAGTACTCCCTCCGTCTAAAGCTAGTACAAAGTTGAGTCACTTATTTTGAGACGGAGGGAGTACAAGACAAGTAATTCAAATGGAGGTAATATAGCATTTAGGAGCGAGTTTGTACATACTTTGTTAAAGAATTTTTTTTACATAGACCAATGTCCAAACATCATAATATAGATTTTTTATATGGACCCTAATAACTGGCGATCATTCCCAGGGGAGGGGATGCTGGCGAACCGGGGACCTCCTATACCGCGCGTCACGCGCTAGCCAACGAGCCAGTGTGTCATGCTCGCCCCTATTTGGCTGGCCCATGAGCGGGCAGGGATGCCCCTCCTATTTTATTCATTTGGTTTTTTGTTTTTTTGTTTTAATCTTCTTTAAAATACTTCGGGATTTTTAAAATTTTCCAAATTTTTTTAAATAAATGTTCATAATTTTTAAAAAAATCTTCGTAAATTTGAAATACAAATTTGTGAATTAAAAAAAGTTCATGAATTTTTTAAATATCCCAAAAACAATTATCATGATTTAAAAAAATGTTCAATGATTCTAAAAGTGCTCATTGATTCAAAAAATGTTCGCTGATTCAAAAAAAGTTCACCGATTCAATAAAATATTCATTGATTCAAAAAATGTTCTCCGGTTGAAAATAATGTTCACGGGTTACAAAAAAATGTTCACAATTTCAAAAAAATGTTCGCAAAAGATAAAAAATGTTCCTCAATTTGAAAAATCGTCACAGTTTCATAAAAAATGTTCGCGAATTAAAAAAGGTTCAGGATTTAAAAAATATGTTCACGAATTCAAAAAAATGTTCATGAATTTGAAAAGATGTCCGTGACCCGGAAAAGAAAAAAGGAAAAACAAAAAAGAAAACGAAAGGAAAAGCAGAAGAAAAAACAATATAAAAAAGGAAAAAACGGTTCATGGAAGTTTCTAGAACCTTCCCAAAACTGGTAGGGGGAAGATCCCGGAACGGGCCGACACAGAAGAGGACTACGCGTAAGGGGGGGGGGGGTTCCCCAGCGAACTACGCGGAAACTGGTAGCTATATACCGACTTATGCGCGAAATATGATTCCCCAGCGAACTGATCGTCCGTGGGAACGATCAGCTAAAGCGGACGTTTCGTCCCCCTCCACGCACGTCCTTAAGCCTCCAAAGTTGGGTCAAATAAAGCCCAATTTTATTGTATGCATTGCCCAAACTTAATAACTGGTATGGGCAGGCTTCACTTTTAACCTTTTCCTGTATGAAATTAAGGCGGTCTGAAGCATGCAACTCCTTCCACGCCGGGTCCCTTTTCATGGATTCAAATAGGACTATAATTTTATTGAAAACAGAGAAAGGGATTACATCCATGAAAGACTATACAAAGGTGCATCTGAAAATGTACTTAGATAAAAAGAAGGTTTGTGGACTAAACAAATAATAGTGAAATGGCCAAAAAAAATTGGGTACCTTGCGAAGGTGTAGTCTGATTATCGCTGTAAATTTTGTTGGTTTGGTCTTTGTTGAAAACCTCTTGTCATTCTAACACCTGAGAACTTGGTGAGCCGATAGTGAAAAGAAGCTTATTGTTTGCTGAGATGTCCAGATTTAAGCATTCAGAGAATTTGTGGATGAACAAATCGATCTGTAAATTGCTGATTTCCAAATCATAACTTGGAGGATATTTAGCAGGCATAGGAAAATCCAAGAAATCGAAGGAAGATAAGAATGAGTCTATCTCTGGTTTCAATTCTTTTGTAAACTGTGGTACACAAGTATTTGTTGCAGCAGAAGACAGCTGGATGTTTGAAGTAGATGGCAATTTTGTAGCTCTGGAATGACTTATATCACTGGAGGTACTGTTGGTGTAGTTTGAGCTGTGGACATCCTCGGTGTAAGTTTTCACAGTTGGTATGGAGTTTTTTTTAGAATTGTTTGCCAAAACTTCTGACTGCAACGTTCGAGCATTTTCTTCTCCTGACACCAGTTCAAAATGGAGTAATGGGAGTTAAAGAGAGTTTTATAGTAGGATAAAAGCAGTCAGAAAGCTCCTCTTTGAGTTTAAGAAAAAATAGTACGTGCAATCTGTCTGGAGCTGTTGCATATATCTACTTACCTGAATGTTGTGCACCGAAGGATATTTGGTGTTAACGTACTCCTGTATTTCTTTTTCTTCAGCCAGTTGTACTTCTAATTCGTCCGAGGCATCACAGAAGGGAGTTGATGAAATGTGCTTCATCTGCATTTGTTCAACAAAAGCAATTATGAAGCTAACAAGTGTGTGAGAAAAATTGAAATATTTATATATTCAGGTGAAAATCTTTCCTGTAGAAAAATAGTAGGGTAAAGGAGTATGTATTGTCGTTAGTTGTTTATAACTTACTTAAAGATAACCTTCCAAAATGAATGTTAGTTCAAGATCACAATGGGAGTCTAGGGAAGCTGTTAGTTGGAATCTTGTACTCAGACGTGATTAAGAACTCAAAGTGGGCTATGTGCAGAGAACCAAATACCAATTTGGGTTCCTATGCCTCGTGAGGAAAACGTTAATAATCCTCACTGATAGTGACCATGGATTTAATTAGAGTCAATTATGTCTGTTTACATACTCCATGTTCGTGTATCTGATGTACTTATCAACCATGCATTCATATCAGCATATGTGTCCTACCTTATCTCATTGTTTGCACATCGACCGATCAGGAGTAATTTGTGGTTTTGACCATGCATATGATAAACATACTCGACATAATTTGCACTGTTTTTTTTCTTCTGAAAACAAAATCAGTCTAATTTGTTCTATTTATTTAAAATCAGTCTAATTTGTTCCTGCCCTTGATCAGCTTTGATATTTGTGCTGTGATTGATTTTTTTGGTCAGATATTTTTCACTTCCAGATCTTGATCTACCCAGAACCTCAGTATAGGATGCTGGAGAGACCACACCTCTCTCTCACCCCCGTCCCCCTCCCCCATATTGAGAAACTACTGCTCCAATACATGCGACACAAGCATCAGTTTTCAGATAGAGTTGCTTATTGAAGCCTGGCAATAGGAGAACAGGATTAGAGCTCATCGCTAGCTTCAAAGCCTAAAAAGCCTCCTGAGCTAAAGTAGACCACTCAAACTGCTTCTGCTTCAATAACCGAGTTAGTGGTTTGGCAATGACACCATAGCCCTTCATTTGCGATAGGTGCCTTCCATACAGGGGCTAAGTTCTAACAACAGATATAGCATTATGCGTGCCCAAATGATTGATATGCACGAATCTGTCATGTGCTAGAGAACTGAATTTACCTGACTGGCAAATCCAGTGTCCTGCATCCACTCCCAGGGGGTCTGATACCCACGATCGGCTTATCAGGCCGTCGCAGAAACAAGCAAGGCTATACACTCCATGCTCCCACCTGACACAGCAACCATAGAGATGGTGAGTGCAAGGAGCAAACATAAGCCGACGCCATGAAATAATTTAACAATTTGCAAATGGTAAGCAACATCTTCTTGTCTTGAGTTACATAACACCCCTGATAGATCCAGTACAAACTAACTGCAATGAACATACTACTGTAGTGGAACATACTACAGCTCATTCACGTCAAGATCACAAGCTACAAACTAACTGTATTGAACATACCACGTAGAACATACTATAGCTCATTCAGATCAAGATCACAAGTTACATCATGGAGTAGGACGTACTTAGCGAATTAAGTTCTGTGCAGGTTTAGCAATGCTGAAAGAACATGCATATTCTACACAGGATGCCCAGTTATCAAGGTTTACCTCCTTCATAACATTGAAGGGAGTTTCATCAGATAGTGGGCAAATTTTTGACAGATATTTAGTTCTGTACTAACATGATTAGACCAAGTGAACTAATCACAACCTCAACAGATCGCAGAATTCACAAAAGAAAGTGAGGCCACCAATGAATTGAGTGATGTGTGCAACTGAAACCAATGCAGCTCACAGTTTGTTTTGGTAAATGCGGGTGCCCATTCTTTGTGAACATATGTTAGTGATGAAAAAGAAGCAGAAAGTAAAGGTCTCTAGATTATG